ATTTTTCATGCTTCGGGTTTTATTTACTTTAACTTTATTTACTTTTGCTGCAATTAAATTTCCTTTTAAGGCTCTGTTTCAATTCAGTTTGCATATTTAAAGTTCATTTAGATTTTCAGTAATTTAGCGATCATTTATTTACCTTGCAGTCTTAACTTTTCTTAATTACATTAGCTTTTAGGAGTCCTTGGAATCATATCCAGGGCATTTTGTTGTATAACCCATTTAGTGCAGGAAGTTCATCTCTCGTTTCTGCCAATCGTCTGATCTTTAAGGTGCAATTCACGACGTTCTTCCATCAACTCACAAACTGGGTTCCACGCTTGGAAAGAAGAGAGGGTCGTCGAAGAAATCTTTCTTGTTTTGAGCAAAATAAGTGGCACGCCATTTCATCTGCCACGTGTCAAGGAGATTTTTTGGGATAACACATACTACACATTTTTTTTTACAATCAATACTTTAAATTAATTTTCATCTTAATTAATATCCTCTATAATTTTAAGATTTTTTACAATTTAAAACTCATAAAAAATTTCGAATTACCAATAAAATTATAATACAGATATAGAGTTTGACCACGAAATAAAAATGTAAATAAAGAGTTTGATAGTAAATTTTTAAATTTTTTAAGAGTTTTGAATAATAAAAAGTATTGATTTAAATGAAAATTAGTTTAATATATTAATTAAATATATATAATGTACAAATAAAAATTTTAACCAATAAAATTTTAATAATTTTAACAAATTTAATAATAATAATAATAATAAGTATAACCATTTCCTTCCAGCCATGAAAAAGATAAAAATGTATAGCTAGGGGTTGAAGAAGAATCTTTAAACGGTTTAAAGATTTGAGAGATAGTGATTTTGCGTCGTGATAATAGAGTTGACAACTGGCATTGTTTGACCCTTCCTTTGTAGGGGACCTCCATCCTGAACCCTGCATGCCTATACTGGACTACTACCATACTGATACTGTAGTTTTCTTCTTTTTTCCTTTTTTTTTTTTTGAAATTTTAGTTTAATAATAAAATTAACGAAGAATTACTTATTTTTCGGTACCAGACCACAAGTACGGTTAGGCATTTTTAGCTTATGATTTGATTTGACTGGTGGTGGTTTAGAAATCTACCAAGCCATTGAAGAAAATAGAGATTTTTTATTTTATTATTATTATTATTTGAATGAAACAGAGTAGGGAAGTTTGGTAGGGTGGTGAAATGAGTGAAACGAAAGAGCACCAGAAAACAGAGTAACCGACGCACTAGTACTGATTTTTCCCATTTACACGTTGATTACGGTCTATATTATGGACTGGCAAAGAGCCACAAACTACCGAAAGGCCATGTGCATTTTGCATATATGAGTTTAATGCCTGGGACCATTTTGATCTTACTCCTGTCCTGCCCTGCCCCCACACCTTCTCCCTCATCGTGATTTATGTACATTGCTTCATAAAATGCAAAATGGTTAGAGAATCTATCTTCAA